GGTCAAGAGACTGTTTCTTAAGCAGAGGTTTAATTACAGCAACCTTAAAAGCCTTTGGTACATATCTCTGTAGAGTAATCATAACTATAATGGAGGATCAAAGGGAATACTTCCTTAAATAACCTGGTTGGAACTGGATCTAACATACAAGTTGAAGGCTTGTCCAAGATGTGGTTTGATCATCTTCAAGATGTTCATATTTATATTATTGTTGTCTTTATAATATTGTTGTAGGTTGAAAACACCTTAATCCCAATAGCAGTCATTTTTAAATTTCAGACATAGCGTGTTCCAATCTAGAGACAGCCTACCATTGATTTCTTTGGATGCCAGTGGCAAGAATGTCTTTTATAATGTTAAAATAAAGCACAGTAGATGGAAAGGTCATGGATGATGGCTCCCACAGACAGCTATGGTCGACCTGCAGTTACATAAAGTGGCAAAGCACTGCCATGCAAGAATACCATCTTTGTGTTGGACTACTGTGATACGTCACGGCGAAAAAATGACGAGAGGCTTTACGCCTTCAACGGTTAGCGGGCGTGAAATTGGTAGCAAATGTCCCAAGAAGGGTTTCTGTGTCTATACTGTGCATTGCTGTGAACAGCAGCTGTTTCTGGACGTAAAGGCCAGTCATTCAGCTCCTGATGTCGAAAAACTCCCTGGACTTCACGTCTTTTTTATCCCTGCTGTCTTCCAAGTTGATGTTGGGTTTGTGGTTGTATGGATGAATGCATGTCAGAGGACAGAGCAATGAATGAATGCTTGGTAGTGTCAAACCGAACAGAAAGGAAGAGGGGGCTGATAGCGCTGATGAAATGATCAGATAAGAACGCAAAAAACGAGGCTTCTTTTATAACAACGAAGAGATTAAGCAGCGTGGAAAGATGCTGGCATGAGAGAGAGCAGAGAAGAAAATCCACTCTGGGTGTTTTAGAAACATAGATGGTGTGACAGAAGCCTTTTAATGTTTTATTAGATTTAAAAGCAGCAGGATGAAGGACTAAAAGATCATTTCTGCATCAGTAGACAAACTAAAAGCTGCGTGTCTCTTCAGTAAGGTTGTCTTTCAAAAAGTAGAAAAGTCACACACTTTTTAAAATTCATTTGGATCCTATGTGATAAATCTACACAAGTAGAACGTAACTGAGAAGGAAAATTAAATATGATATATTTTACAACTAAAAGTCACTCATCCTTTCATAGTTTTAACCTCTTGGTCAGTATTTTATTGCTGAGTTTTTTTTTTTTTGTTTGTTTTGTTTTTCTTACACAGTCTAAAACCTCTGACAGGTTTTCTTCCTGGAAGTAAAACAATGTGCTACTTATTTTCTTTTATTCTGCATATTATGGAAAAGTAAATTTAGCTCTTAAATATATGGAAAAACCTGCTCATTGCCTTTATTTCATTTTAGTCAAGTAAAAGTAGAATGTAGTCACCCATGAAATTACTCAAGTAAGAAAAAAAATGTACTAGATAAAATGACTATACAAGTATTGAGTAATTGTTGGCTCAAAACAGCTGACATAATGTTTATTTAAGTTATATTTAAATCATGTAATCATAAAGTTATGGGAAAATTCCGATATTTTAAAGTATGGAAATAAAAAATGGCAATAACATTATTAACAAATAACAAATTGCTATTTTTAAAATAAATATAGACTTTGTGTATATTTACCATAACTACAGTGTGTCTTCAGTAAGAGGCATCCTCAGACCCGTTGCAACACAGACTTCTACAGGTGAACCTTCCTAAATACGGCTATCGACACCTACAGTAAGACAACTCGTTACAAAAAAACCCCAAAAAATAGGAGTTACTGCAAAAATTAATTTCCCTCCGGGAATATAAGATAGTATTTTAAATAAATTGAACTGAACAACAACATGTGACTGGGATTACATCACCGCTCATACTTACAATTGGTCAACAACCAGAAGCATTAGAAGCTAGTCATTGTGGAACTATAAATAATAAAAGTCCAAGATCAAGAGTAAAATTTTCTAAAAAAGGTTTTAGACCAAGAGAGATAAACCTTTATTTGTGTGAGGAACACAGTCTGACTGTTGGAGCAAACTAAAAGCTGGAGCTAGACTGCAGGATGGTGGCGTTAGCACTATTAGTCCTATTCTGACGGGATTAATATTACCTAGGGACCACATCTTATGATATGGTGTTTATCCTGTGTGTATCAATCATGCTAGTAAATTATAAAGTAAAAATTCCTCGACAAATGACCGACTTTACTTCCCTTCACTCCTCTTTTGATAGATTCTGAAACTTCAAATAGAAGTAGGTTGGTTTGGTCTTTGACCAGGCAGAGCTGTTGGCTTCCAACAAGGCTTTACAGCACAGTCTACGTGGTCAGGACTTATTTAGTAGCTGCATTAAAGACGATGATCTGGGCTTATGGGAGTTTTGTGGTACTACCAGCAGATGGCGCCACATCTGTTTATGTCAGTTCATCGAGCCTTCAGCCTGGGTTCTATTTAGGCTCAAAATGACTATCAAAACGCTGTCAGGATGGATGCTTGGATTATAAAACCATAATGTATCAACATCAGCATGATTTTCATCTCTCATTTTTAGGAATATAATATGATTATGTGCCTTTAAAAGGCATTACTTCTAAAAATGACTAATTAAAATGCAAGGTTATGACTCCTTTGAAATGCAGTGGAGGTTTTTTCTTTTTAATATGTGAAAGTGACTGCATGTTTTTTTTTTTTGGCTTCTAACCTTAGGATCTATTTCCTGTCTTATTACAAAATAAGAGTTTTAAAATGAAGAACCGACCATCATATATTTACAATTCAAAATAAACTTGGATTAAAAATGCAACTACAAATAGAGTAAGAAATGCCTCCATGAAGGTTACAGCGCCCCCTGTAGGGTGTTATTATTTCCAGTTGGTAGACTACTTTAAATCCTGGAGCAAAGCCATTCTGAAGAGTTATTACTCTAGTTTTTTTGCAATAATAAACAGAACAACAAATCTGCCCTCTAGGTGTCCACACTGCAAATTCCCCTCGCCGACATCATGCTGCCGTGTTTATACTCTTATCGCCTCGCAGTCAAGTGAGGCCAAGCAACTATGTTATGGATTATTGGGAGGTTTATTATAAGACATCTGTTCTCGGTGCGTCAGGGGAAAATATTTACTCCTC